TATGCGTTTTTCGCATTGCATTGCTGCAAAAAACGCATAACAAATGAATACGCGCTGAAATCATACCGGAGTACATTTTAGAAATCAAATTAATTTTAAAAAATGCATAAAATCTTTGAAAATAATGTTTTAATGCGCAGATCGCGAAAGAGGCAGCAGCTTAAATGCGGAGCAAAATTTAACTCATCAAGAAACTGGCTCAAACCTTCGCCAACTTCAGACAGAATGTTCCTGGGTGGCACTAAAATGCAACCAGATGCTTCATGCAGCTACGCAAACCCGCTCTCCCCATCAGCACCCTCTTCAGCCCACCAATCCTCTCCTTCATAAAGCACACGCGCAATTTCTTCCGGGCACATTCTGACCGGCGAAATCCAATGTGTGCTAGAATTTTCACTAACACGGCATTTCACACCAATCTTGGTATATATTTAGCAAGAATTTTTTCTTTCCAGAAAAAAGCTTACGTTGAATCGACATCATCGATCACTGGCTCCAAAGCTCGTATTCGCCTTTCAGCTACCAGAACAAGTTCAATCTTATCACCGCTATCACCCATAACATTGATCTGTGCGAATGATCCCACTGCGTGCAGCTCCGATAAGGATTCCACTGTTTCAGCTTCATTCCTAAAAGCGGAACAGCGCCCTATCCTAACTGCATTATTATTTCTGATGAAATCCCGACATCAGACTGTCACAACAGTTGTTTGAAAACATCTGTGACATAAGTCAGGAATTAAAATTCTCTTCATATTTATTGCAAATGAAGCGCGGAAACGCTACAAAAGCAGCTTGTGTGCGAGGTTGCCTGAAAATAAGCCAGTGGTGGGCCTGAATGGCATGTGCCAGTACAAAGCTACCGTCAAAAACGAACGAACGTGTTAGCTAGTGCAAATATCTGTATGAAGTTATATGTATAGAGAAGCACGCGCCAAGCCTTCGACTCTGAGTTGATACTTGTGATCTTTATTAATAAGAAATGTTTTACTGTTATTGCTTTATTGTTAATAAAGTAGGTCGTCCTACGTGGCCGTCTCTCTCATCAGCATCCCGGTCATGTCGCTAATCCCGGTAACAGGAAGTCGGACATTTGAAATGTAAGCTTCACTGCCTCAGATGGTTTCAGATTGGCGTTCTCGACGAACAGCACCGTGAAACAAGACAACACAGCCTTTCACCATCTATTACGGCAGTCACCCGGACATTGCTAGTGCAAAAGTCTAGTGCTGCTCGAATACACACAGGAACAGCGCAGCTATATC